AGGAAAAAGTTCGGGAAGGAGCTGCTACAGACCATGGGTGAGGGAGCTGGGGGGCTTGGGGAAGGCAGTTTTAGCACCCGCCATACCCTTTTCCCTTCAACCTCTTCCCTGTGCTGCTTTTCCCATTTCCGTTTCCTTTCCAGATGCCATCCCCAGCACAGATCAGATTCGGATAACAACATCTTTGAAAAGCCAAAGGGGATCAGTGTGGACAAAAACCAAGTCAACATTCGAATTTTGGGAATTGGAAGTCGCCTTTCGAATTACGGGAAGAGGTCGCCTGGGAGCTGATGGATTGGTAGGAAGAATTCCAGCTACCAGGAAGTCGATTCCTTCAAAAAGGAATCTCGCCTGATGCCTCTTCCTTGTTTTTTTCTCTTAACAGGCCATCTGGTTTACAGAAGAGCAAGGCTTGGATGGGCCTGTTTTCGGGGCAGCGGATAAATGGAATGGAGTTGGCATTTTCTTAGATTCTTTTGACAATGATGGGAAGGTTCGTGGAATGCAAACTCTACCAGCTAGGATTGTTTATCATTTTCCATATGGGCAGGGACACCTTCCACTAGACCAGGTTGCTCCAAGCCTCATCCAGCCTGGCCTTGGACACTTCCAGGGATGGGGTACCCACAGCGTCTCTGGGCAACCTGTCCCAGTGCCTCCCCACCCTCTGCGGGAAAAAATCCTTCCTGATGTCCCATCTCAATCTCCCTCTTTCCGTTTAAACCCATTACCCCTTGTCTTGACACTCCCTGCCCTTGGGAAAAGTCCCCCCCAGCTTTCTTGTACCACCCCACCCAGCAATGAAAGGGGCTCTAAGGTCTCCCCAGAGCCTTCCCTTCTCCTTTCTTCCCTTCTCAGTTGGGGGCTGAACCCCCCAACTCTCCCAGCCTGTCCCCATGGCAGAGGGGCTCCAGCCCTCGGAGCATCTCCGTGGCCTCCTCTGGACTCGCTCCAACCAGTCAATATCCTTATGTTGAGGGCTTCAGAGCTGGATGCAGTATTCCAGGTGGGGGTCTCCCCAGAGCAGGACAGTCCCCTCCCTCGCCCTGCTGGCCACGCTTTTCCTGATCACATCATCCATGTCATTGATGATGTTCAACAGCACTGGTCCCAATCCTGATCCCTGGGGAATGCCGCTTAGTGC